AAGATATCCATCAGCTGCCCAGGGGGAGGCCAGTAAACAGTGGGTATCCCAACTCTGCCAGCAGCTCTGAATTGAGCCAGGAGGAAGGCACAGCAGGAAGACCCATTGTCCATATGGGTCAAAAGACTTGGAGGGAACGCATTCTCTTAGCAGCCAAAGCAGAGGCTGCTGGAATGTGGCAACAAGCATGCCTGGTCTCCCAGCACACCACAGCTGGGACTGGGCAGTGTGGATAGGCATGGAGAGGTGGGGTAGCCTCTGCAGCTCATTGGGTCTTCCGTCCCTGGACAGCATGCTACACCCTGGCTGGCTGTACCCTCGGCCTTCCAGGCTCGGCCCAAGGCTTGCCCCAGCTTGTACTTAACCCTGCATCTGGCTGGGCCTTGCTCCGTCTCCAGCTCTTCTCACTTCCCCTGGGCTGTGAACTCCTGCCAGGCAGGGCCCATGACCCACACCTCAGTTCCCTCCCAGTAAGCAACACAGGGCCAGATGCTTGGTGTGGGATGGGACATGGAGAAGAACAACTCCTGGAAGAGGGCACCACACAGGCAAGAGACTGTCCTCGTTCTGCACAGAGCTCATGTGAGCCCCAGACGTCCCGCCCTCCCTGCTCTGAAGCAGATCACACTGTGCTGAGACAGGAAGGTCAGTGAGAATGTAGGTGGGGCCATGAGAGGCTCTGCTGGGGGCTTGGAGGGTAGGAACATATGCAGACCCCCACCAGGGCCCACATCAGACCCACGGGCCCCAGTCCTTCCCTGACGTTCTCCAAGGAGAAACCCTCTGCAAATTACCTGTTCGACGACTAAGCAATCCTGTTAGGAAGTCCCTGGTGAAACAGGCGACTTCACATTCCCAGATGGGCACCCTGGCGCCATCACCTTAGCCCAGCTCTGGGTCACACACTTCCCTGCCTCTCCCCTGCCTGATGGGTGCCACGTCCGTGCCTCCCTCTGACAGTGAGCACCCACCATGAGCCACACCAGAGGCCAGCCCTGGGGCTTCTCTGCTCCCCTCCAGGCCTGCACCCTCGGCACGGGTGCGACCACGAGGACTCATGGTTCCAACAGTCCTGACATGGGGCAGTCAGCTCCAGTTTGTCTTGATGGGCTTCTTTAAATAACTTTTCAAATGAGTTTTCAATTGCTCGATGAGCTCTAGGGATTTCAGAATGCTTGTGATACACACACACACACACACACACACACACACACACGGGGGTTTCACAAGGAAACAGCTAGAAACGTCTGGTGTAGACATGTTCTACCAAATAGTTCCACCCAGAGAGAGGTGGCTTCTTGTTGTATCTGATGACTAGTAAGTATTTACCCCATGTTCAAGTACCCGGCACTGTGCTGGGACTTCAGGATGTCATCTTGTTCCTCCCCACACCCCGTCACACGAGGACGATCCTCCTTAAGGAAACGTGGCCCACAGAGATTAGTTTGCTTGCCCAGGGTCACCCAGCCAAGAAGTGTGGCCAACACTTGGGTCCAGGACTGATTCCAGAGCCAAAGGGTGCCGCCACCAGGCTTTCGCGGCCTGTGCCCAGGCCCAGTCCTGCCATCTAACTGGAGGGGATAGGGCAGCTCTGCACCGAGTCCCAGGGTTGGACAGCCCCAAGGGCAGTCTCTCAGATTCTATCCTCCAGCAGCACCACAGGACGTGAGCAGCAAAACACTGGGTGACACCACCTCACGGGTGAAGGAGAGTGGGTCTAGCCAACGCCCACCAGCCAGCTGGGGACCTTGCAGTTCCATCCTCTTCTGGTTCTCACTGGCAAAAAGGCTTTTATACCCTGATGCACCCATCCCTGCAGAGAGTATCAAGAGACGGTCATGCCACCATGTTACATCTCCCATAGACTACGCTCTTCTGTCTTCTACCCCAAGTTATTTCACTCAAAACACAATACGATGGCCATCATAACTCAAAAAAATAACAGATGCTGGAGAGGATGTGGGAAAAAGGAAATGTTTCTACACTGTTGGTGGGAGTGCAAACTAGTACAACCTTTGTGGAAAACAGTGTGGCAATTTCTGAAAGATCTAAAGATCAAGCTTCCATATGACCCCTCAATCTCCCTACTGGAAATATCCCTGGAGAAACTCAAATCACTCTATGAAAAAGATTACCACCACACCCAGTTATTTATTTATTTATGTATTATAGCGACGAGGTCTCACCAAGTTGCCCAGGCTGGTCTCAAAACTCTGGGCTCAGGCAGTCCTGTTGCTTCAGCCTCTCAAAATGCTGCATCATTCACAACACCATGTTTATTGCAGCATGATTCTCAATAGCAAAAACATGGAACCAACCGTGCTGCTCATCAAAAATGGACTGCATAAAGAAAATGTGGTACATATACATGATGGAACATTACACAGCCATAGAAAAACAAAATTATGAACTTTACAGCAACTTGAATGGAATTAGAGTCTATAATACTCAGTAATCTATCACAGAAACCAAGGTCTGAGTACTACGTGTACTCACTCAGAAGCGGACTCTGAACATTTACCATAATACTATAAGAAAGAAGTTGGCAGTAGTGGAACACTGCCAGGGGATAGGGGGGCACATAACATCAATAAGGGTACCCAAACTTTACCTATACGATGATCACTTAAGTACCTAACCCTGAATTGCACCCCACATCTTTAAAATAAAAATAAATAAATTTTAAAAAGCAAAACCAAACAAACACAATATGCTGGTTACAACCATAGTGTTGACGTCCTGACCCACTAATGGGCTGCAGCACTGAGAGACAGTGTGCTGGAGACATGCTCTTGAGGGTGAACCCTCTCCTGGGAGGCCAGCAGACACGAGGGCCGGGGCAGGAGTGGAGCCAGCCACCTGTGGAAGATGGTCTGAGCACAGTAGCTCAGCAGCTCCCAAGGCCCTCCTTCAGGGCCTGACTAATGCATCTGACCTGGACCTGGGCAGAAGTCGTCTAGCTGGGGAGACGCCAGTGGCTAACTCACACCCGAGCCATTGCACCCGTGGCTTGGGACCCTCTGCTCAGTCAAAAGGCGGGTGCCAGAGACAGCAGGGCAGACCCTGGGAAGAGGAACTCGCGCTCTCACCTGAGCTGACAAGCAAGCTACCTCACTAATAGCCGAGCTGTGAGCTGCTTGTGTTCAGACCCTGAGGTAGAAAATGAGAAGGGCTCCAGACAACCCTGTCCTTTTCCTAAGCTGGAAAAAATGTGGTTGAAAATATCAGCCTTGGCCAGGTGCAGTGGTGGCTCACCCCTGAAATCCCAGCACTTTGGGAGACTGAAGCAAGAGGACTGCCTGAGCCCAGAGGTTTGAGGCCAGCCTGGGCAACATGGTGAGACCTCATCTCTACAACAAATAAATAAATAAATAGCTGGGTGTGGTGGTATGCACCTATAGTTCCAGCTACTTGGAAGGCTAAGGCGGAAGGATCATCTGAGTCCAGCAGGTTGAGGCTGTGGTGGCCATGTGTGTGCCACTGCACTCCAACCTGGGTGGCAGTAAGCCTCTGACTCAAACAAAACAAAACAAAAAACAAACAAAAAGAAAATGGCAGCCCTCAAGCTGGCTAGAGTGGATCATTCCAAGCAGCACCAGAAACCGCAGCTCTGAAAGCTGACTGATGCCACCGTGACTGACAGCTCCTGTATGTCGGCACCTGCAAACCCCTACGGCCACCAGCTGCTTCCTTCCCAGTCCTGACATCTGGGAACTGTTTATGGCTAAGTTGTTGAGGGCAATCCACCTCCGCATATGAAACGGTCCCTCCTCAGCAGAGGGAAAGTCCCACGTCCCCTGCCATATATGGAGAGGCCTGTCTACTCCCCCCACCCACATCCCCTCACCCCATCCGACATCAGAAGAGGCCTGTCCACCTCCCCCGTCCCCCCACCTCCATCCCACCCTACCACCAAGAAGCCCTGTCTTGTGGCCTGTGCACACGCTGCCATCTCATCCCCTGTATCAGGGGGCCTGTCCACATCCCTCCACCCTACATCTGGCTTCTCCCACCTACTAACACGCGAAGAACTTCTGAGGACAGAGGGTCAGGTCCTGGTAGCTCCCATTAGCGGCAGCAGATGTTTGACCTGCGTAACACTGGTATGCAGTGTGATATCATACCAGCTAGTGGGGTCACCACACACCCTCCACCCCAGTTGAAAGCGCGTGTCTTGGCAGAGATGAGCACACTCTGGACACATCAGTGCTTATGGCACAATGCAACTCAGAGCATGATTTTCCAACTCAAAGAAATGGTATCTTCTACCATGGATTTAATTCTACATGAAAAGTGAAAGCAGTCCATTGACAAATGAATGCGTAAGCAAAATGTGATATATCCATACAGCGGAACAGTAACACAGCCTTAGCAAGGAAGGAAATTCTGACACGTGTGACAACACGCATGAACCCCGAAGACAGGCTAAGTGAAATAAGCCACTCACAAAAGTCCATATACCATGGGATTCCACAATATGCAGTCCCTAGAACTGTCAAATTCAGAGAGAAAGCAGAGGGTGCCAGGCCTCGGGGAGGAGGAATGGGGAGTTATGGCTAACAGAACCAGCTACTGTTTTGAAGAACGAAGGGTCCTGAAGATGAGGGGACGAGTGTGGCACAAACACATGAATGTACTTAACGCCATGGGACTGCACACTGACATGTGGCTGAGATGGTAAATGTTATAGACGTTTTACCACAATTTAAGATGGAGGAAAAGACGGAGGAGACAGGTAGAAGCTGAGTGCAGAGAAGCTTCTCGGCAGCTCTGTGAGCTCACCCTTCAGAGTAGCTCTGACATGGAACTTGGAAAGGCATTTAGAGAAAACCCCAGAGTTGCTGTCCACTCCCACATCCGTCAGGCCGGTGTGAAAGTCATTTTCATAGCTTCCTGCCGGGGCTTTGGGGGATGCTGTGGAGGCCATTTCTGGCCAACAGCACACAGGTAGGCTCCTGTGGTGGCCACCACGCCCTGGAGGGCAGGCCGCGGCACATTACCTGGACGGGTATCCGGCTGCACTGATGCGAATCGTCTCCAACACTCCACAGGCTCGAAGCTGCTGCACCGCTCTCCTTGGGTCAAAGCTGCCAACAGCAACATACATGGTGAGTGGTCGGGCTTGAGGAAGGCAGCAGAACAGGAGAGGCACCACTCTGCAAGCCTATGCCAAGTGATGGTTCCTCACACACCCTTGAGCACAAGGCCAGGGTCGAGCACAGATAAGATGCCACTGGGCAGGGCACAAGCCACTTCAGTACCCTCAGCTCCATGTACAAGGCTCGGGCCATCCTTGGGCTCCCAAGATGCCCTTCCTCCTCTGTGCCCCCCTGACCTTTCCCCACCCTCCCAAGATTTGTTCCCGCCTCCTCCCCAGCACCTGGCCTTGTCATTTCCATCCACACAGCAGGTGTCGTATTTCACAGTTCAGATCATATACACTTGACACTGTTATTTGGCCCAGGCATTAGAAGAACAAATTCTAGGCCAGGCAGACCCGGGCTTGAATTGTGACATGGTCATTTGCCAGCTACATGTGTTATCTGGGGCAAGTTACTTCATCTCCTCTGGTCCAAAACGCAGGGATAACAGCAAAACCTGTTTTACAGGGTTAATGCAAAGCTTAAGTGTTACGGCCTGCGAACAGAGGTATTAGTTTTATTCATTTTGTCAGAAATGACAAAGGGTACATGCATCACCAGCTGTGATCACAACAGCTGCTACTTAATGGTCACACAGATGAAGAACTTTATCTTCAGGGCTTAAGAGACGTGTACACCCTTCTCAGTTACTCACACGCCCCACAACGCTAAGCCTAGCACAGAAAACCCAGTATTTATTCAGACATATTGAACAGTACACCGTAGAGTGAAAAGTCAGATACTGTGTGAGCTTTCTAAGTTCTGCTTGGAGCGGAGTGTGTACAAGCCACGTCCTACAAGGCAGGTCATCAATGTGATGAAAGTGCAGAGAGAAGCCAGAGGCAGCAGAGTGGGCTGGGTCATCGAGGAGTCTTCTTGGGGAAGAATTAAGCCAGTCCAGGAGTAAAGTCCATTTTTAACCTGCTAAGAAGCCCATCCCACACCATGAACGGACGAGGCATGAGTGCCCCCCCTTGCATCCGATGGCCCTGCAGCTCAGCAGGGGCCAAGGGCCAGCTCATTGTTCCTTCTGCTCTGGAAAGTGGCAGGGCAGGGGAAGACCCTGCAGGCTCACAGTCACAGACCTGGGAGACGACAGCGGTTTCAGCTCAAACTGTGGTCAGGCAGTCGGGCAGCGGCTTGCCCTGCTGGACCAAGGGAAGCAGAGGCCGCATCAGCACCAGCACCTGCAACACGTGGGCAACTCTTGCCACGCTATTTGTGCCTCTCCCTGATGACCTGGGCATTCCTTTCCCAGCAACCAGCACCTGCCCAGGAGCCTGGAACTCTGCAGGTGGGCCTAGCCTGGTGTCTGCTGCCCTCAGAGTCACACCCCTCCGTCCGAGACTCTGTCTGTCCTCCCACCTCTCTGAATGACCAGCTGGACTCCCAGCTACATCTCTGTACCTTGTTTTCCCCATGGCTCAATGGGAGCTGAACATACCTGGCCCAACTACAAATCAGCGATCCGTTGTCATGACTAGTGATGTCAAAAACAGAGAAATGCTTTTAGAAAAAGCTAAAAGACACTATACAAAGATGATATCAGCATCATCTCTCCCTGGGCACAACCCCGAGGGATGTAGAAGTGAGCCAGTCTTCTGCGTTTTAGTATCGTTTCCCCAAAAGTAACCCAATGCCACAAGTATCCCTCGACGCACCTCTGATGGTCACTGTAAGGTGACTAAGAACAGAAAGTCAGCCCTTCTGCTATTAAATTCTGGAAGCCCACAGTGAGGACAACGAACTCCAGCTTCTGAATTGAAAAAATTCCCAAAGAGACAGGGTCAATGTGCTAAAATCTAGGTTTCCCCCTCCCCACACAGTGGACAAGCACAGCAGTGCCCAGAGCTTGCTGGGTATGGAGTGAGTCCAAGGCATCACCTCCACAGTTACATACCACTTGGTTGACCTCGGCACGGGCTGCAGGCCCCCTGCCCATTCTGTGGTGGCATCTAGGTCCCTGAGACCCTGAGCCCAGGGGGCTGGCCTTCAGGAGATCTGGTCAGTCCCAGGCCAAGGACTCCCCAGTGATGACCCTTGCCTGGGCCACTCCTCCCTGGACATGTCATCACACTATCTAGCTGTCTACTCTGCCTGACAGCACTGTCACAGGGCCACCACCAGTCTCTCTGGGGACTACCAGTTATCTCTGACAGACAGGTCCTTAAGCATGGGGGAGGTGTCACATCGTCACTCCACCTATCCTGGGCCAGGGTCCTGCAGGAGCATGACAGGTGCTTCCTGAATACAGGACACAGAAGAAGAAGACTTTCATACAAGAGATGTGACCAGAGCGTTTAGTGCAGGATGGTGGTTCCCAGCTGGAGGCAGTTTTGTCCCCAGGGAACACTGGCAGTGTCTAAAAGCATTTTCATTGTCATGATGGGGGGATCTGTTGGCTTCTGCTGGTGGAAGCCAGGGAGACTTCTAAACATTCTACAATGCATAAGATAGGCCACAGCAAAGAATTACTTGCCCGCAGATGTCAGCAGTACTGAGGGTGAGAAACACTGAAAGGAGGGAATGGGAGGAGAGATGCAGAAACCTCCTTCTGGAATAACATCAAGAGTAATGTTAACCACAGAAGCTTTTACACGTCTCATAAATGACTCCCATGTATTAGCTCCTGAATTCTTCCATCAGGATATTTTCTAGCCACAATTAACAAATGAGACAACAAGACAGAGAGAATGGAAACTGGGCGTGTGATTGGCCCCAAGAGAACAGAAAGCCGGGCCAGGATCCAGGTGCCATGACTCGGTCCAGGATGCTTCCAAGCTCCCCCTTTATGGGGAGGAAGACTTTGGTCCTGAGGGCCAAGGAAGGTCTTCAACAAATGGAATAAGAGGATGGGAAACTCCCTCTGAGAGCCCTCGCATCATTTCTCACGTGGGAGCACCTGGACCATGGCAGGGCTGGGCTCTGAGGAGGGGACGGCCGAGTCCCAGCAGCCAGCCGAACTGGCGTGGGCCTGCGTCTCCTCTGGGCCTGCCCTTCACAGATAATCTAAGTCTTTCACGCACACTCGCTTCTGATAGCCTCTTTTCTGTGGAGCCAGCTGGTACACAGATGCCACATGGGGGGATTCCTAAGCACATCTCAGAAACTGGGGAAGGGAACAGAGCAGACAAGCAGCGCCTGCAAGAAGCTGGCTCCATGCCGCCTCCTGCCTCTCTACCACCAGGCCCAGCGAGTGGATGGAGGCCAACTTCACACTACCTCTCGCCTTCCCACCTCCAGGCCCACCAAGTAGACAGAGGTCAACTCCATGCCACCTCCTGCCTTCCTACCTCCAGGCCCACTGAGTGGAATTTGAGCTTCACTAAATGATGAGAACTACAGGAGGCAGGTCAGATAGTCTGGGAGTCAGAACGGCCAAAATCAACGATTTTGCAGAAAGAAACTATACTAGGACCAAAGCAGAAATCATGGGAAGAAAGAGGGAAATAAGGTGCTTAATAAATGTACAGACACACCTTCCCTGTCCAGAGGAAACGGCATGTGTGAAAGTTCAGAGTAAGGGCAGAAAAGAGGCTGTGGGTGGTGAGAGGTTTGTTTAGGCTTGGGCAGTACTCCAGGAGGGAAATGAGGAGGGCATGGAATGAGACGACGGGCGGGAGAGAGAAGGGCACCACGCGAGGAAAGTTCACATAGTCACCTGTGGGCTCTGACTGCCATTAGACTCTAGGAGTGAGGGAGGAGGAGGAATCAGGGGTTATGCCGTTCCAGCACCTGTGAGTGCCAAAAAAAGTTAAAGCGAAGCATATTAAGAATTCAGTCCCTCAATCACGTCAGCCACATTTCAAGCGCTCAATGGCCACGCGGGACCAGGGGTTGCCACATAGATGGCGCAGCTTCTCACAGAAGGTCCTATTGGACAGTAGTGACCTACAGTGATCCTCAGTCTTCCAGTCAGTCTTCCAGTCAGGGAGGTCAGGTCCAGGGGGGAGAAAAGGGTTATGCTATTTATGACAACGGAGGCCAAATAAAGAGGAATTAGTTTTGGGATGGGGGAGAACGAAGAGCAAGGGTCAGACACGCCAACCACGAGTGGTCAGTGACTCTGCAGCAGGCACGCAGAAATGGAATCTGGCAGAATCCAAAGACGGACAAAATCATGAAGAGTCACTGCTTCATGGACTGGGGTGATAGCCTCGTGAGCAAGGATAGAGTTGTAGCAAACACTCCAAGGTCAAGGTAGAGGCCAAAGTTGGATCAGAGCAGGCTGAGCGGTGAGGGGCAGTGGGCAAGGGTGGAGGACTGGATGCTCAGTGATGAGGGGCAGTGAGCAAGCAGGGACACTGCATGCTTGGCAGTGAGCAAGTGTAGATGACGACTGGCAGTGAGGGGCAGTGAGCAAGTGTGAATGACTTTGGATGCTCAGTGGTGGGGCAGTGAGCAAGTGTAGATGCTTGGTGGTGAGAGGTGTTAAGTGTGGGTGACCCTGGACACTCAGTGGTGAGTAGTGGTGAATACAGGTGACCCTGGACACTCAGAAGTGAGGGGTGGTGAGCAAGTGTAGATGATTCTGGACACTTGGTGGTGAGGGGCAGCGAGCAAGACTCTGGATGCTGAGCAGAACGGGGGACTTGGGAAACAGGACCATCTGTGTGTCCTTCACTTGACCCGTCATCTGAGGTCTAGTTCCCTCCATGCAAGGAAAACCCTTCCTGACCATGTAACCATTTCCCACGTCAGAACTTAACATGTGTGGTAAGAAGTGCTCACGCCTGCACCTGATGGTTCTCTGCTGGATTCAAGTGTCAGTCCAGTTACCATGAGCTCCACGGGATCAGATACTGTGCCTTCTTGAACCCGCCTGCACAGCAGACTAGATGGAGTGAGCAAAGGTCTGTGGGCAAGTGTCTGATGGCAAACTTCCATCAGCAAACATCATCTGTGGTGGGCAAATGTCTGTCGGCAAATGTGGTCTGTGGACAAACGTGGTCTGTGGGCAAACATCCGTGGGCAAATGTGGTCTGTGGGCAAGAGTCATATGTGGCAAACGTGGTCTGTGGGAAAACGTGGTCTCTGGGTAAATGTGGTCTGCGGGCAAACGTAATCTGTAAGCAAGCATCATCTGTGAACAAATGTGGTCTCTGGGCAAAATGGTCTTTGGGCAAATGTCTGTAGGCAAATAGCTGCAGGTAAACATCGTGTGTGGACAAACACTGCTTGTGGGCAAATGTTGTCTGTCCGCCTGCCTTCACATATAAACCATCTGGCGATGCTAAGTCTGACCAGTTGTCATGCTGAAGGCCACAGACCCCACCTTGTGCCACCAGAGGCCACTGGATGGACTGACACCTGGCAGACACTTACTGGAAGGGGAGCTTCTCATCGTTGGGCTTGATGCAGCGGACATAGTGTGGTGTCGTGGCATTCAGGGTCTCCATGAGCAGGTGCAGGGAGGTGCGGAACTGGAGAGACAAGAGCCAGCACTCAGTTACGTTGAAGGTCGTGTGGATGTATGACAAAGGGACACTCAGACACTAGTGGCAGTGAGCATTACTATTATTGTTATCGTTAAATTAGAAGGTTGGGGAAGAGATTTGGACGTGGGCTCAGATTCCAGCACTGACCCTCCCACCTTGCTGTGACCAGAATCAAGTCCTCCCCATATGAGGGCCCCCTTGAACTACCCGGAAGACGGTCCCCTCATGTGCCCAATTCCCTATGTTGTGGACCAAACACCACAATGGGGGCAAACCTACATGGGAAATGTGTCACCGTGCACACAGGCTTATCTAAGTCCTGAGGCCTGGAGCCTTGACCTTGGGGCCTGCATACTCTGAAAGTGACTGTGCATATAAAGTATCCAGAACAGGCAAACCCATGGGAATAAAAGCAGGTGTGTGGCTGGGGTGTGGCAGGCACTCTGCTCTCCAGAGACATGCTGGCCAGAATGCCCAGAGACCCACAGCAGGAGCAGCTCTTCTCAGTCTCCTGATCCCAGCTTACTCAGGATTTCTCTCCAGCGTGCAGACTCCAGAGCCTCTGCCTCCCCACAGGGTGTCTGTGGCCCTGCAGCGTGGACCCGTGGAGTGCCTGAGGCCCTGCAGTGGACCCATTGGGTGCCTGTGGCCTGCAGCGTGGACCCGTGGGGTGTCTGAGACCCTACAGCGTGGGCCTGTGGGGTGTCTGAGACCCTACAGCGTGGGCCTGTGGGGTGTCTGAGGCCCTGCAGTGTGGACCCGTGGGGTGTCTGTGGCCCTGCAGTGAGGGCCCACGGGGATGAACACCCTGACAGGGGCTGTGCCCTCCCCTTCCCTCATTCCTCAGTTAGTGCCCCATAGTGAAGATTTCAGTTTCCTTCTCCTAAGGACACAGACAGAACTGGGAACTGCTGGGGCCACATGGCCTCCCTCTGTCCTGTGGTCACCTTTCACCCACAGAGAGGCTGCCAGGCACGTGTGCCCCAGCCCACAGCGCTTGGCCGGGCTGACCTGGTGGCCCACAGTTTTCTTGTGCTCCTTGTTGGAAACTTTTATGGGGGGTCTGGCAGAACGGATGTTGATCTTCGAGGACGACCCCTTCCCAGGTGTGGCGGTGGCAGGGACAGGGTCCTTGTCGTCCTGAAACAAGTCGGCCACTAGTGGGAACTAGAAGCAATCACAAGAACAATGAAAATGAGACCTCTCGTACCTTAGGCTGGCTTTCAAAACAGCTTTTCGATGCACTCTTAAGAGGACCGAACACACGCATCCACGCAAAAACCCACGTTCGCAGCATCATTCCTCGTAAGGGTCACAAAGGAGAAATGACCCATCCATCCTCGGCCGATGAATGGACAAGCATGGCATACCCCACAGCGCAGTGTCATCCAGTACAAAGAAACAACACGTAATCCAAGCCACAGCCAGGATGCACCTCGAGCACGTCGTGCCAAGTGAAAGGGCCAGACACAAAATGACCACGCACTGTGTGGTTCCATCCATATATCCAGGAGCAGAAAGCAGGGCAGTGGCTGCCAGGGCTGGGGGCAGGGAAGGGAGTGACTACCAACGGGCTCGGAGCTTCTTCACGAAGCAACAAAAATATTCTCGGATTCATAGTGGTGATGGCTGCATACACTGGTAAACATACTAAACCCCACCGAACAGTGTGCTTCAAAAGGGTGAACTTTACAGTATGTGAATGCTACTTCAATTGTTTTTCTGAGTTGGAGCCTCACTCCATCACCCACGCTGGAGTGTAGTGGGATGCTCACGGCCACCCCCGCGCCGACCTGCTAGGCTCAGGCGGTCCTTCCGCCTCAGCCTTCCAAGTAGCTGGAACTACAGGCACGTGCTACCATGCCTGGCTAATTTTTTTATTGATTGTAGAGATGAGGGCTTGCCAAGTTGCCTGGGCTATTCTCGAACCCCTTTGGCTCAGGCCATCCCCTCACCTCGGCCTCCCAAAGTGCTGGGATGACAGGCTTGAGCCACCGTGCCTGGTCTCAATTTTTTAAATGGCAGAAAAAAGTAGGTTTCCAGGCAATATTTCCTAACCATCACCTACAGCGGTGGGCAGAGCTTCGTTCTCTTGGGGTGTGGACGGAGAGAACTGTGCTCTTATAGAACTATGTCTAAACAATACTTCTCCACATTTATTATTGGGGCTTGTAACGTTATTTAACGTCCCTGTTTTCTCATCAGCAGAGCAGGGATAAGACTCCACCTGCTACATGGGGCTGTCATGAGACTAAGACATCAGCGTCTTCATCTGTAATGAGGCAAGGATGCAGGCCTTGGAAGGGGTGCTGGAAACCCCACTTGACTACGTCCTGCCATCAAGACAGCCTGACAAGGAAACAGTCCTGCCGTCACTCCCAGGGACGTCCACACAGGGGCTAGAACACAGTCCTGCAAGGCCTCACCTCATGCCCGCCAGGGGCAGGAGAAGGAGCACACAGGCCCACTGGCTGACCTCAGAAAATATCCAGTCACAACAGAAAGGAGGCTACATGCTGGTGCCCCGGACTCCAGGCTCTGCTCCTAGCCTACACTGCACCCTCTTCCCTTAACTCCATTTGGATGCCCGGTTCCACTTTCCCAGCATGGGTACGCACGCCCCAGAGGCTCCGGGAACTGTGCCCACCCTCTCAGATCAGACTCTGAAAGGCAGCCCAGTATTACCGTGCTACCCACAGGCTCCAAGCTCCTGGTCCTGCCCCCGCACCTCTATGCACTGGGCTGTTCTCACTGAAAATACCCCACGCCCTTCCACTCTCTGCTCCTTCCTGAGAGGCCACCTTGTGCCCTGTGGCCCTCTCCTGGAGTACTCCATCCCTGCCGTGACTCCCACAGGCTCCATCTGAGGCACCAGGAGCAGCTTGAGCCTTCACTTCCTGGGGCAGAGGACAAGGGCTGGGAGAGGACCCAGAGAGGCAGTCCAGGCAGGCGTGTAAGAGAGTGCTCAGTGTGCAAGCTCTCAAACATTATCTGGCTTTATCAGTTTGTTAGGGTTATAGACAAGAAAGACCTGCCTAGGTTGTAAAAGCACAAATGCTTGAGGAGGTTACGTTTTTTTAGCTGAAGAGGAAACAGAAGCACAGAATTTTAGACTTGAGCAACTGTGAAGGTCAATGCTTACCCTCCCGTGGCAGGGGAGGAAATGAGCTCAGGGAGACGGGACCCACCAGAGTCTTGCTCTGGATTTTGTTTCCCTGCACCAGCCCGCCCAGGCAGCTAGCCAACAGATGGGGTCCAGCTAGAACCTGGTCCCTAGATGCAGGGTCAGAGCTGGTTCCAGTGCACAAGGTAACTTTGGCATTTAACCAGCAAAACCAAGGAAGTGGAAACACAAAGGGTGTAAGACATGGTCTTCATCTTTGAGGCACTTGCAATAACAACTAAACACATAAAAGGAGGCCAGGCACAGTGGCTCAAGCCTGTAATCCCAGTGCTTTGGGAGGCCGAGGCAGGAGGATTGCTTGAGCCTGGGCAGCAAAGTGAGACCTCATCTTTACAAACAATTTTTAAAAATTAGCTGGGTGTGGTGGTGCACACCTGTAGTTCCAGCTACTTAGGAGGCTGAGGCAGGGAGAATTGCCTGAGCCCAGGAATTCGAGGCCAGACTGGGCAACTTGGTGAGACCTCGTCTCTACAGTATATCAAAAAAATTAGCCAGGCGTGGTAGTGCGTGCCTGTCGTTCTGGCTACTTGGAAGGTTGAGGTGGAAGGATCGCCTGAGCCCAGCAGGTTGACACTGGGGTGGCTGTGAGCGTGCCACTGTTCTCTAGCCTGGGCAACACAGTGAGACTCTAACTCAAAAAAAAAACCCCAAAACATCAAAGGACACGTCACGAGACCTTCTACCAGCTGGTATCATCCCCTGACATTGCCAGCAGACTAAGGCAAAGTATGCTCTCACGGTGCAATGTCACAGGTCCTTGATGGCGGCGACGGTCAGCTTATGCCCTGATAATGCCGAACTTCCTAGACCTTCAACAATCCAGACCCAGTTTAATTATCCATTGAGCACCTACAAGGGCACCCACCCCCAGGGCGTCAAGTCAGTAGCTAGGAAAGTAAAAAAATCATTATCATGATGGGTCCCAAATCCACAAAGCGATTTCATAGTATACTCCATGTAGACTTCAGGTGTATTCAGAAATCCTAGAAGCACATCAAAACGGCAACACACACGGGCTTTTCATGTCACAGCCTATGGCAGGCCTGCTCAACCCTTTCTGCAGTCAGACACCTGACAGCAGAGTCTGATGTCACCACAGCATGGGATGCCTCAACACCACTGCGGTGCAGCATCTAGTAGTTATTAGAACTTTATGCTTTTTAGGGGTTCAATTTCAGAGTCAAGAGTAAATGTACACAGTCAGCGTTCTGTTTCTCATGGCTAGTAGCTAGCCAGACAGGTTACGGAGCAATGAAATTGGGTACCCATACCTCATGCACAAGCATGCCGGAAACAACACGTGTTGTGAAGCCCCGCCCATCATTTCTCACAGACACACAACCATCAGAACCCGACCTCCATTTTTTTTTTTTTTTTTTTTGCCACAGTAAAAACAGAGATTCTAGTCTCTGCTATGGAATCAGAGGATACTGTTGTCAGACAGGTGGCTTGAAGGGTCATTCCAGTGAAATCATGTCTGCAAGTTTAGCTGCCAACAGGTGACAATCCTGCTTCTAGTCTCAGCATCTTTGAGGTAAATATATATATTACATATATATATGTATATATATATGGGGGAGAAAGAGAGAGAAAGGGGGTGTGTGTGTGTCTCTCACTCTGTCTCTCAGGCTGGAGGGCATAATCACAGCTCACCACAGCCTCGACCTCCTGGGCTCAAGCAATCCTCCCTGCCTCGGCCTCCTAAGTAGCTGGAACTGCAGGTGTGTGCCACCACACCCAGCTAATTTTTAAAAATTGTTTGTAAAGATAAGGTCTCACTATGCTGACCAGGCTCAAGAAATCCTCCTGCCTTGGCCTCCCAAAGTGTTGGGATTACAGGTATGAGCCACCATGCCCAGCCTACTATTCTCAGCAACTCTGAAAGGCAGCTCCCTCTTCTCTTCATGCATGGCATTTCAAAGAAATAAATATTGCCACTTTAGAGGGAAGGTAAGTAGTAGGCTGTCAGAAGTAAAGAAGACTTACAGGTATGGTCTTTAAATGTGTGACTACAATCTGTGCACCAGCATCATCATGATGACATTTTTATTAGGACTCATTCCATGTGCTGTCAAAGAGGAGAAAGTAAATACTAGGTCACGGAACGTCAAGAAACTAGATTAACTAGTTTGTTCATCCATCTACCCATTAATTGGTCAACACTTGACTCCCAAATATGCAACAAACACTGTGCCAGGGCTGGTAACACAAGATCAATGAGAACAACACAGCCTCTAGCCTGCCATGGAGTTTATGGTCTAGCATGGAAGGTGGTCAACTAACCCTACAAGTCAAAGCATAATGACAAGAAAATGAATGTCCTAAAGGAGATGAACAAATAACAGAAAGGCATGACGGAATCACTGAATCAGGGGCCTGAGGTGGAAGAGACAAGGAAGGATGCTCTTACGAAGGGAGCTGGAACTGTGGGAGGGGAGGATGGCATGGTACAGGGCAGAAGTGCCGGCAATGGCAGGCTCAGAGCCCTTGGGGCTGATGTGAAGGCAACACAGCTACCATGCACCCAGCGAGAGGGGAGTCAGAAGGGCCGGCCTGCGCAGGCCTCAGTTCAGGGATTTTATTTGTATCTTAAGGGCAATGTGAAGCCATTAAGGTCTTCTTAAAATAGCAGGTGCGGTGTTTACTGAGCATTTAGAACGTGCCAGGCATGCGTGGACTCATCCAATCCTCACAACCCATACAGTGTAAGTACCACCATGTCCCATTATACAGATGAGGAAACTGAGGCTTAGGGCCCAAGATCACAGAGCCAGTAAGAGGCAAAGCCAGGATCTGACCCCAGAGAACTGGTCCAGAGCCCGAGCAACGATACATCACACAGAGAGAGCAGCAATGGCCAGAGGCAGCTGTGGGCTGCAACTTTCTGGAAAAGATCCAGCTCTACGTAGCACAAGGGGAGGCTGAAGTCTACCACAGGAGGAGGTGAGAGACCGAAGAGCAGCTATCTCGAAAGTAATGCAGT